GGTGTAGGTTTACTGTAAACATAAGCTCACGATTTCAACAATGCCAATTTGGAATCCGATCTGTGGCATTGCTTTCTAATTGTTATTGTTAATGCTAAGCTTATTTGTCCTCGAGTTACAGATTGAAAAGCGTTTCGCAAAGTTATCAGATGTTCGTTGGTAAGATCAGTTTTTATATTTAGACCACGATGAGCGAATGCCGATTTCTAATCCTCCAATTCAAGTCTGAGTATCACCCGTTATCCACGGAGCCATAGTCTATCACATAGACTAAACCTACACAGGGTCGAACCGATAAGTGCGTAATTTTCATTCACGAATTAGCGTCATTTAAAGAACAAACTCCTTTTTTTTTATTCCCGGATACTTTTTAAAACTCACATCATAATTTCGGTAGAAGTATCTTTAATTTCATTCCACAACATCGTTGGGCTGAAATGTTACTTCAATGTGCAATTTTGCACCAATAGATTTAATTTAGGGTTCGCTGTAGCATTGTAAGTTGTTCTTATATTGATGCCATGTCTTCTTGCTTTGAAAAAAAAACACCTCCTCTATTTTTGTGCTTTTAATGCTTTGGTCATTACCTTGATGACAAACTGAAACGTTACGATAAGAAATAATTCTTATCTTTTTCGCCCCCTTTTGACTTTTTGGAATTATTAAGCAGATTTATGAAATATCTACTATTCTTTCGATAAAATTGGGGAGGAAATCTAAGATTATTAATATTCTTTATTTGAACATGGACATCTGAAATCTACATATACAAACAGTAATTACGTTTACATAACTCATTTGGCTATGATTTTCTTTGAAACGTCAACCGAAACATCATTAATTCGTTTCATAACATCAGTGACATTCCGTCCGTTCGTCAAGGCAACTTGAGAAGATATATAACATGTCGACATCGTCAATCTTAAATGATGTCTTTTTGAGCATCCGACAAGCACAAATTACGTTTAAGGAACGGAAAACCACATGTGGCTCATGCAATAGGAACCATTGGAAATGGATACGTATGCAGTTCGCAGACCTTGCTTCATGCTCAGACAAACTTCAACATAAGGGAAATCCATTTTTTACAGCAATTTCACCTTTTTTAAAAATTATTTTAAACCTATTGATTTGTAGCTAATAAACTACTGTCCTTTAAGAATAAGTGAAAAAAAATCGTTGCAATTGCATATTTTGTCTCTGAGCTATGGTAGTTTGAACATTTCATGCGCGAAACCTGTTTGTCCACGGAGGTATGCATTCATCAGCTTGACTGAGCTCATCTGTCGGAGCTTGATTTGAACACAAAACATTAGCACACTTCAAATAAGGATTGTTAGTTCTACGTCGTTGTATAAATAATAATAATGGGCATTTATAAAGCGCAAATACATCCACCGTAACGTGCTCAAGGCGTTTTGATTGCTATGTAATGTTATGCATGACTTACGCCTACGTCTCCTTGGGTATATGGTCTTAACACTGACATGAATAATCGGACAGCCTCAACAATATTTACCAGGTCAAAACATTTTGTTGGCAAGGTTTGTAGTTTTTGTGAACTACAAAATCGTCCAATTTACATAGAATAACACGTGGACAAGACTGATTTTGGTGACTTGTATTCAAATTAGCATAATATCACTATTCTTGCGACTTTTCCTAAGCTTTTTTTTCACCATGCAAAGTGAAAGGGTTATACTTTACTACTACGTGAAGAAACGATTGAAATAAGTTAACTAAGTAGGTAACAATTGTTGTCAAAAGTGGATTTCCTTTATATTGAACCACCCCGTAGTATCACCATTTTGTGTGGTTAATTTACCTAACCAGCATGTAAATCTTAATATTTTTATGTGAAATTCACATTTTATAGCCATCGCGTGCCCGATGAAATTCATCCACGTAAAATGATAATTTAACAAGCAATTTTTCCCTGTCGCATACGTATCCCGTACGCGTATACCATATTTTCAAATGGTGCCCAGTGGCGGCGCCAGACTACAATTTTTTTTGGTGGGGAGGCAAGTGAGGGGCAAAGAAATATATTGTGGAGGGGGGGGGGAGAGTTAATATCTGATTCCAAAAGCTATGGGTCATCTGTGTGCACGGAACCAGAATTTCATTCTCGTACCCGCTGCTATGTACATCTGATTCGAACCAGCCAACCTATACCGTTAGCTCGGTGGTTGAGTGGTAAGTTGTTTTCACTGGAAAGCAGGAGGTCGTGGGTTCGAGCCTCACTCGGGAGGTAACACACTGAGTATACAGTGTTTACACGTCGGTGAAGGGCAAAGCCTAATATGATTAATTGTAGTTCTGAGCTGAATGAACAGCGAAGGAAATAAACAGAACTAATCTGTATGTACACAACGTGTGAGGCGGGGGGCCGCAAGAGACGACCCCATCCCTCCCCAACCCCCTCCCCATATCGCCGCTATGGTCCCATATCGGTTTGCAATGACGGGGTAGGAGAGGGTTGAAATTTAACTTAACTTCAACCGTGCTGCAGCTGAAGCAAAAGTGGTTCTTAAATTTATGTGAGCCAGTGAGCCCGATAAGTTGGGCGACGCCGGCGGCCGGCCTAACACCTGCGCTGGTCCGTGTATTGAATCGTTCTCAGACCGCATGGGTTGACTTGAATGCAAATTTCCGGTCAGCGTCCTAAATAGCCATCAGGGGTAAATATTAATCGAAGCTAAACTGCAGATCGATTAAAAACAAACAATGCCATCTTAAGTTGGATATCATGCACAATAGTTCACCAAACCATTTACCAAACCAAACCACGCCAACTTGCACTAAACCAAAACACGCCAAACCAAACCAAACCAAACCAAACCAAACCAAACCAAACCAAACCAAACCACACCACACCAAACCAAACCAAACTACGCCAAACCAAACCAAACCACACCAAACCAAACCAAACCACACCAAACCAAACCAAACCAAACCACGCCAAACCACACCACGCCAAACTAAAACCAAAACCGAACCAAACCAATTAAAAAGCAACCAAAACAAATACAAGATCAAGTTAAACGGCGCTGTCGAAAATGCTCAATCATCACAACATTAGGCTACATTTTGAAACATACTTAAAACGAAATTTTGAATTGGGATTGTCTTATTTAAAAAGTGAATAGCTTTTGTATTGCTAGAACAGTATAGCAATAATAGAAGGAATCAATTGTCAGGGTTCGAAATTAGCGGTAGCCCGCTAGCCAAATGCTAGTCAAAACAGCGGCGGGCTAGTCAAACTACTCCTTAACTAGCCCGGCTGGCGAGTGAAAAATTATTGCTGTAATTTTCAGAAATGGATGGATTTGGGGTGTTGGTAATATATAGCAAATATTTTTACACTGTCTTTTTTTACCTTTTGGGTGCGTAGATGCTATAAAAACAATCCTTTTTCCTGTAAGTCTGGTTCCCTAACTCCATATAAGATGAAACGCAGCAATTTATAAACATTGGGGAATTGTAAGGTCAGGCAACCTGTCTAGCTGGCTTGTACCCGTTCATAGGTGTATATATAATAAATTGTAAACAAATGGTGACTAACTTAATACGGTCAACTGGGGCCAGTATTTGAAAACAAGTCAGTTCTTTCCAACGCTGGTTGGCCAACCAGCGTTGGAAATTGATACAAAATGCCACTTTTCTTAAAAATGACAGTATACCAGTGCCATGATTTTACAGGATGCTTTAGACTGTCATTCACTAACAGGCCAGCAAGGTATTTCAACATAATTTGGTATTTTTATTTTTTGGTGGTTGCAAATGTTGTATTTTCTTTTCAAAGGGTTAAATTATTTGATCTGTTAATCAAAAACCCTGACAAAAATGCCTCAGAATTGAGCTTGAAAATACGCCATTTTGTATTTGAGATAAGAAAAAAAATTCGGGCTAGTGGAAATGCCGCGGGCTAGTTAAGAGTCCGTTTCAGTAGCCCGGCTGGCTAGTGAACAAAAAAATTGAGGTCGAACCCTGGTTGTTCAGGGTGAAACTCGACAATGGCACGAGGAATACACCTTTAAAATGAGCGACGGATCGAGGTTGATATACAAAATGCAGGCAGATTATGTGTAGTGGCGTTCCCTAACGTGGCGCACTTCGACGTTCCCTCGACTTTCCCCATGCAGTGTTGTCAAACCTCTTTGTGACAAACTTCACATTTATTCAGTTAAATACTGGTAGTTTTACCTTAATAATGCCTACTGTTGAACCTTTGTAAACAATTTCAGTGTCATGAAATTTAGTCCGAAATTCATAAACAGTGGCGTCCGGAAATTGGGCACAAAATCGGCCGAGTGATCTCTATTCGTGGCGTTCTTGAACAAATCTCAGAAAATCCCAAGTTAACATTTAAGATTTTTTTTAAGTTGACAAATTCTGATAAACCATCAGGCCTATTATCTCCACTCAGGTACAATACCCAACTACAATATTATCTTTTTTTTGCGCATTTAAAAAGGGCTCATTTGTGACCTTGAAAAAATCATGCGTTAACTTTGTTACGGATAAGACTCAAGATTTATGAACGGAAATGTTTTAGAGCTTGATTACATTTCACTCACCGCGAAATTTGAGGTAACCCTGTGCTCTACCAAGGCACTAGAGGCGAAAAAAAAATCAAAGTGCGCCACGGTTAGGGGCCGCACCACGTAGGGGACATTAATTAGCAGTAATAGGGCTGCAGCCTTCCTTATCTATTATCGCCTGCCTTCATTTTTTATCGACCGAGCTTGGATCCGCCACTGGAAACGACATTTCATGTTATTTTTGTGTTTCTTGTATAATGTGAAGTTTCACCAGTGGGTTCGGTGATGATATCGACATATACGGTCAATTCAATCGGGACATTCACCGTTCGTTTAGCTGGTTTCTGGTAAGCTGTTCCAATAAAATACTGTCTGTTAAGAGGACAGAGCAACACCTATCTATAAAACCACTCCAAAAATTATGTGAATGTTGTTATTTGTGTGTTACAGAATTAACCGCGAGCGCTCGCAGAGCAAGGAACCAACGCTAGGTGTGATACAACACGTCATCTAGACTTGACTTGAACTACTGTATAAACAATGAATGGACTGGACTGCCGAGTTCCGATTGTAAATAACGTCACCTTGGAGAGGGACAGGTTAACCGATCTGGTAGGTCACTATTTTTTGGTACTTTGAAACTGTCGAGACTTTCTGCAAGTCAGCTTGTCCATCTATTATTCTTATAGCGAGAGAGATTAACGCCATCAACATGGCGACTATGGCGTCGTGGGACATCTTTCTTTGCGTGTTGTACGGGTTCATTGCTGTTGCCATCATCGCTGGTAACGGATTCTGTCTCGCCGTGCTTCGTGGTGTCAACAGCATCCAGAGGCCCACTAAGTTTATGATTGGCTCCCTGTCGGTGGCAGATCTCTGCTTTGGGATCTTTGTAGTTGTACCAGTCATTGTGGCACTAGCCCTGGATGATCTGCCGAGCCAGAGGGCAAGCTTCTGTACCTTCTTCGCCTTCGCCGTCATCCTCTTCCCGAGGGCAAGCATCGCTTGCATCTTAGTCATCAACCTGGATCGTTTCGTGGCCATCAACCGGCCGTTGCACTACCGCGATTTGGTAACCATGCGTCGAGCCTACCTAGCAGTCGGTGCCGTCTGGTTCCTGTCCTTCACACTGACCTGCCTATTCGGCTTCCTGCCGGGCAGCTCAACCGTCTACCATGGCCAATTCCACATGTGCTTCTTCAGGTTCGCGGGAGGAAGCAGCTTCGTCGTAACCAACGTGCTGATTGTAGTCAGTGTGGCCATCCCGATCGTGGTCAGCATCGGCCTGTACATCTTCATCGTCAAGATTGCCCGTGGTCACGTCAAGCGAGCCAACTCAGCTTCTCATAGCATAGACCTGGCTATGCTGAGTGGTGCCCAGTCCGCCCAGGCTCCACCTAACCCAGCCGCTAAGCCAAACACCAAGGCTGCTTTCACCTTCCTGATCGTCACAGCTGGCTTTGTGGTTGCCTGGCTGCCATTCCTGGCTATCCTTCTCCACGAAGGTCTGAAGAACGACATCGTCCCACGCTGGCTGGCTGACATCTCCCAGATAGCTGTCTTCACCAGCAGCTGCTGGAATGTAGTCATCTTCTACATCAGAAATACTGGGTTCCGCAAGAGGGCACGAGAGCTTCTCAGGCTGAGGGATTAGACCAGGGGCTTTTCCCCGGAAAGCCACAGTTTCGTCGCTGGCTTCACTCTAGTACAGGCCTTGCTTAAACCAATCGCAAATTCTGCTATAACTTTGGACTCATATAAATCACAGGACTTGATGTTACTGTAGCGGACAATTGTCAATTTGGGTATAATAATATTTCATGCAGTGAGGTGCCTGTAAAGAGTGAAGTCTATGAAACTGAGTAATTATCAAAGTGGTGAATTACTGGGTGAAAAAAATAAATCACCCAAGCGAACATGGAAACCATAATATGGCTGTGTTCCCCCATAACAGAACTGAACATAATGACGTCACGCGTTGTTTACATGTGCGCTGTCTTAGGAACCAGGTGGAGACGAGAGGCAAAAGGCATCCAATAAGGAAGCGCGCCTGTGAACAAAAACATTACGTCATTATGTCTCAGGTCTGTTGATATAGCTCCAAGATGACCCGAATTGTATTCAGTTTTAGTGTTGTCATTAAGTACTTGGAGATTGAGTGTCAGTGTTGGACTTATCGAACCAAAGTCAAACCTCTGATGCAAGACACACGTCTTCAAAAAATGGGTTATTTGTGATTACAACAAGCCTGGCGACCTAAGCCAAGCAAGTCCTCAGAATGTTCTCCTGTATATACAAACCCTTTTTTGATAAAAAATAATCCAAACTATAGGAACAAAAGGGAACAACAAGAGTCCTCAAAAGTATAGTAAAACCAGACCCCGGATGAGGTTTATGGGCACTTGCATTGTTCTCACCTTTAGTATCCCTCTTCTGTGGTACCGTTAGACAAAAGATCGACCAATTTATGGGGTACCATTGTTCCGTTTGTGCGCGTATACCCCATAAGGTAGCGCTCGTAAAAAAAAAAAACCACTATAGCTTATACAGATCAGGCACTTTAAAGCGTGTGTACATGTTTAACTGTCTGAGGACAGCAAGACAAAGAAAGAATATTGGATTATTGTTGTGCTCAGACGCACATCTTTTGTTGAAAACGGTCCTCAAACGTACGGGTGTGTACTGTGGTTAGGAAAGGGTCTTCCCCACATGCTGGTATATATGTATGTGTGAACGCAGCCACAGATATACGTATACTTGTGGGGAAGACTATTGTTTCCCTTCTTCTGTTCTGCTTTGTTCCTATTGAAATCTCAACCTCCATAGCGCTCCCTTATGGGACAGATAGATTTCTAAAGACTTCGTTTTGGGTTCTATTGTAAATATTGTTCTATTGTGTTTTCTACCCCATAATGGAACCATGTACGTGTACAGGTTTTGTTTATGGTGTAAATCGAGGATTTCCTATTGTTCCTCTCTCTCTTTTTACAACAGCTCTCATTGGTTTCGTACGCGTTTTCTAATCGAGGACTTCCTCGATTTGACTCCCGTCCGCAATTACACAAAGATGTTTCACATGTGTGTCCTCGATTTACACCATAAACATGTACACGTACACAACTGTGTATTTGCCTGCAATCGAGGACCCCCTATTGTCCCTCTTTTACTTTAACTTTTTAAGAAGACCTCCCATATATTTTGTACACATCGTCAAATTGGGGACCTTCGGGAATTGGGGACCCTGTTGTCCTCTATTGGTCAAGGTCACCTATTGAATGAGAAACAAACTCACACACACATTATACTTGAGGGGAAGACCTTTGTTTCCCTTCTTTTGTTTCCTTTGTTTCTTTTGAAATCTCAAACTCCAAATCGTTAGGCTAAAGACTTCTTTATGGGGTCTATATTGTTTCTATTGTGTTTTCTGCCCTATAAGAAACCATGTCATGTACATCATTGGATCACTAACTTACACTCTATACTATGTAACAGCTTTTAACCGTATGTGAGGGTTCATCCGTTAATTTAGTTGATTAAAGAGGTTGTTCCCCCGCGAAGCGGACGATGCCAAACCTTGTTATGCATGCATACGTCACGGACAATTATTATACGTTATGTATAGTCATTTGTTCTTTAATGTGTAAATAGGTAGGGAAATATATAAGCAACACTAAACCGACTCATCGTTGTTTTTGGCCAACCAATAATTAGTTAAAAGGGGGGGATAACAACCGCCAAAAGCGAAGGCCATACTAATTGCATTTCCCGTAAGCGGTGATCGTCCTGTAGGCCTAATTTGCCCTGATCAGTTTTGGGGTTCACTTGTTTTGAGGCCGCAAGTTTTTGATGCGCTGCGTTTGAACAAAATAATGTGTTTCAAATTGCATTAGTAAATACGAAACCGTGCTGCCATATCAACCGCGCTCGTATAGTTACACGGTGGACGCCAAGAATTTCTCCCCAAAAGTAGGCCTAATCCCCGAAGCTTTCTCTGAGGATACTGCCTCGGGAATGATCAAGATGTTGAATCTGTGAATTGGCGGAAGATTTGAGCCCGGATAAAAGATATACAGAAGGCTTATACCGGCAAGTCCTGCATTAAAGGCTGCAGTTTAGTCACCGAACTTCGTACTTTTTCCTGATCTTCTCTTTTGATTGTACTTTGGAATATTGATGTTTTCCATGTTGTTGCTGTATTACGACCGTGCCCAGAATTTTAAGTGGGGGGGGGGGGGGGGGGGGGGGTACATAGACTCAAGATATCGAACCAACTCGCGCACGTCGTTTGATTCGTAAACACAATTTCTTTTAACTCGTATGCGCACGAGTACCAACACACATTTTAACACGTTGTTAGTTTGTCGAATTGCTCTCACAATATTCCTACTTTTTTCACCCTGTATTATTTTTCTTCCGTTGGTAACTTCTCATTTATCATTTTTATTGAGGGAGAAACGTAGTCTTGTGATAAGCAGTTGCGAAGTAAAAGATTAGCTATAATCTTGACGAAATAAAAGAGTGTTTTAAAAGCAAATGAAGACCTTTCTTCTCCGGGGAGCGTACACACCGGCGCAATCTTACCCCTGGGTAGGGGTCTAGTTGTTCATGTCAAGACAATTCAGCTAAACCATAGAAATCTGAGCTAGTGTTCCTCTACCTTTACTCAACTCTATGAGGAAGTCATAACGATTTTGCTTTTGTAATTAACAAGTTTGTTTTAATGCCAGTGTAGGCCTAAGTCTGAATTTGCTGGGTTGGTAAACTTTGCTGTCAAACAAAACATCCGTGTTTGAGTCTTATTTTATTAAATAAAAAAATGTAAATGATCGGTTTTACCAAATTTGTTGCGATGCTGTTGTGTTATGTTGTAACTGATGGTGCAAAGTGTTATTGTAAATGCTGCAGAGGTTGTGCCATTATATCACTGATTGTTGTAAATATTTTGTGTTCATAAGAACTTTTGGGTTGATGTAGGTCTAATTGTGTCCTACATTAAAGGTACGTATATACGAACATATAAATTGTAACTGAAATGCACTTGTCGATTTAATGAGAAAAACCTTAAGAAAGGACTGGTACCAAAAACCCTGTCAAATTGTACCGCAAGAAATGGTTTCGATCGAAAGAAAACTACATGCGTTATAGCATCGGAACCCTGCACTTGCGAGACCCAAAAGATTGTTCTTATTATTATTATTCATTATAAACATGTATATTAGCAACTGGCCTTCAACGGGTTAGTGACCATGCATGCACCTTACTTAAGATTTTGAGCAATTTTATTGCTTTAAACGAAAAAAATATATGCACAAAAACAGATGATCCTTTGTATCTTTAATATTATTATTATTTTGTTGGTTGTCGTTTGTAATAGCGGTTTTAGTTCCTTTGCCGTGTTCTGCTGGTATAGCGGTGAGGAAGCCTCTTTCTAGAACATTTCCCGGAATACAATTTCGCAGTGCCTCATGTTTCGCAATATTTTTACTTGGTGCTCAGGTGGCCGAAGAATTACAGTTTGCATAACATGGCTTATTAGGAGGCCCTAACATGGGATGTATAGCCTACGCTGGCCCAATAATGAGGTAAGGGCAAATTATCTCGGGCGATTCGAGACTCACCGCGTGAATTGGCAGTGAGCATTAACGTAATTTTAGGGCTTAATTGGATAACAGTTGGTTCGTTTTCGGATGAACGTGCCAATGACGGCGTGGCTTGGATGAAATACTTTCGATCTATATGGAGTTATGACTGTTCCCGCCCCAAAATTTTTCTTTTACCAATATGTGGTTTGGAGGATTTTTTTTTCAAGGGAAAATAAAGTCCGAGAACCTGACTTGCATTGCAACTCAACGTACTTCGAAATACGTATATGTGTACAGAAAAAAAGGCGTACGGAAAAAAATATCGCAGCCTGGGATCTGCTAGCCTTTCGCCAAGGCCATCGTGGCTTAGAGCGGCGGAGCCTTGGTGAAAGGCTAGGGCTCTGCCGGCTGGGGAGACCCAGGATGCGCAACCTCGTCCCCAGGGTGTCGAACAGTACGCGCCCAACACTACCTGCTCTCTCACCCTGGTATGGGATCATTTGCATGTGCAAGATTTTTGAACACGTATGCAAATGAGAAATAGTCTGGTGCCTGAATATGCGTTACATTGGCGTTTTGTTTTGTTTGTGGTGTCTGGGGTAAAAACAGAGTGAATTCGTCGTAGCGTGAGCAAGGCGTGAGTTCCGAAAACACGATTTTTTTAAATTAAACTGTTACGGTCTTATCGAGACAACATGCAGTATCATATTTCATATTAATATGAACAAATTGGAAAGGAAATTAGTATAATTTTCGAGAAGGCGTGGACGAATGATCATGAAAACACGTACTGCACGTTGTGAATAATAACACCAAGTACACGATAAAAATGCATTACTAGCTAATTGCGGTATCGAATGAGAATACAGAAAGAAAGTTTCCTATCCAGGGTTTCCAACACGAGGTTGGAAATAAAGTAAGCACTGGGGACGAGGTTGTAGGATGCGCGTCTCCCCATTATGAGGCGAGCGAAAGCATGAGTGTGTACGTCCCCTTACTCCCACCCCGCAAATACGCTCATTTTGCCCGCAATTAGAGGCTATTTTTGATCAAGATCACCGGGACAATGACTGAAAGGAGATGTCGCGGGGCTAATAATTAGCGAAAGTCGAGGTACATAGGCTACTAGATTAAACTAGTTGAAGCCAATTTGAAACATAAATACCCTAACAAATTAGAATTCCATTTATTTTAGGCGTCCGCAACCCTCGGGGATTTTTTTTTGTTTCGGTTGCTTTTGAGCCTATTTATGTATATGCCTAGGCCTAGGCGTCAAGCAGGGGCGGCGAAACGGGGGGGGGGGGGGGCCTGATTTACCAAAGTCGAAGTCGAAAATTTTTTTTCTTAAACTGTTAAAGCGCTCCTCTGGTGCAGACAAGACCTGGGAGCAGTGTCGTAAATCCGTGACGGTAAGGGAAGGGGGTGGGGGGGGGGGGGGATTGGGGATGACCGTACGGCAAAATCCTAAAATTGCCCGGTCGTGGAAATTCAAAAAGGGGGTGGGGTGGGGAGGGGGGGACCACTGACCTCTATTTTAATAGAGATCTCTATTTTAATAGAGATCAGTGGGGGGGGGGGGGGGGGGGGCTGATGATTGCAAATGGTGGCTGATGACTGCAAATGGTGCCCGACTAAACTTAGTGCAAATATATGGGAGTCCAGATCGAGAGGCCACATAAAGCTTATTCTCGACCACAACCCCATCTAAAAACACGTTAAAATTGTGCAGCAGCAGGATTCCAGTCAAACCAGCGAGTTTGGCGGTTTTGAGACATCATCTTTCATTGAAAAATTTGGCTACGGCGACACGCGCGCATAACCAGAAACCAGAGACTTTTTTTTTTTGGCCTTATGTCCCTCGTCCCTTTTCTTACGAACCGTGGAGGATAAGGGGATGAGTAGCACCAACATAGATCTCAATTATCTTTGCTCCGTTTCTGGTTTAAATACTTTTAAAAAAGATTTAGCTTCACACAAACAAACAAAGTCCACACACCGTAATTGACATTCGTTTTAGGGAGAGAAAAAGGAAAGAGAGGGGCATGCTCCAAACATGCTCCAAACCATGACCAGAGAATGTATAATGCAGTAGCCTAGATATTCTCTCTCTCTTTTTTAAAATAATAATTATTATTGTCAGTTGTGCGTTTCAAAGTTGCACGACCCCCCCCCCGTCCCGCCCCGCCCCGCCCTCCGGCCGTGCACATAATTATTTAGTGTTCCATAATTTAGCGTTGGCGCCCTCTATGTCGAGATATCCGACGAAAAACGAAGACGCTGTCTGCGCAGGTTTGTCTACAAAAAGTAGATTCTTTTTTGCAGTGTTTGGTTGAAGATCATGTCTTTTGTGTCTTTCATTGACTATTATCAGTGTCATTTATCAGCGGAATCAATCTTCATGTTCCTAATTACATCAGGAGACAGAAAACATGCAGAGACGTTGTCGATGGCCCGCAATCCCATTCGGTGCAAAGATACAACACCGTGAGTGTCACTTTGTCAGTGATTGACATGCACAGTATGCAGTACAGTACAGTGCATCATGTAAGTACGGTGTCAGTGGTCGGTCCAATTGCAATGTAGGCCTCCTGTACGTACGTTTTACTACTGATGAGCTGTAATTGTCAGAAATGGATGGATTTTGGGGGGTGGAGCAACAATAGAACGCACTGAAGTCAAACTGGATGATGATGCCTAGCGGCGATATCCAGTCAAGTTTCTGAGATTCTGAGATTCTGAGTATAAACATAAGGGTAATCTAGCTGGAGTTACCCAGCCCTGAGTTTTATCATTGGGTTGTCTATATTAGGGCTGGAGCGCATTTTTCTCAAAACTTGTAGTATTTGCAAAAAAAAATTGAAAAATGTTCAATTTTGCCCCCATTACACACTAATTGCAACTGCAACTCACCCCAAACTTGCCTGGAATAACCATTACACAGGTCCTTGAAGTAAAAAACGATCCACGATGAAGATTCAGCCTCCAATTGCAGTGAAAACAGGAGGAATAACCGCTAACTTGACAACCTTGCTGGATTGGCCAGGACCGCTATTGGTTTGTGCACAAAAAAAATTGTGTACAATGAATGGCGGTCGATTACCATGCACGTACAGCTCGCTGGTACTAGGCGTTTTTGCGGTCGGTGCATGACGTGACGCGGAAGCGTAATACCCGATGACTGTTTCATGCATTAATAAGAGGTTCACTCGCATCACAGTGCGGTACTGGAACGGCAACCGTCGAGTTGGCCGGCTATCGTGCATTCATAGTGCAGTGTTACTGCCGTTCCAGTACCGGTTATTCCTCCTGTTTTCACTGCAATTGGAGGCTGAATCTTCATCGTGGATCGTTTTTTACTTCAAGGACCTGTGTAATGGTTATTCCAGGCAAGTTTGGGGTGAGTTGCAGTTGCAATTAGTGTGTAATGGGGACAAAATTGAACATTTTTCAATTTTTTTTGCAAATACTACAAGTTTTGAGAAAAATGCGCTCCAGCCCTAATAGACAACCCAATGATAAAACTCAGGGCTGGGTAACTCCAGCTAAGGGTAATCCTTACTTTTAGGACACCTCTATTTTGTACGAGTTCTGTTCAAAACTGACTTTTGCAGATGACTGTCCAGTACCAAAGTGACTTTTGCAGGCTAAAGAATTCTTTTTTCTTCAGACAAACTCATTTTAGTTATAATTTTGAAAGCACTTTCAAAGAAAAAGTGACTTTCCTACCTTTTCGTGCAGTTCGCCATCTTGCTTTTTAAATCTATTTTCTGTTTGTCATCGTCCCCTCATAAATCAAAACCCTGCCCTCTTTCTACAAAATCAAACCTGCTGATATTCAAGAGGTGTCATTGCCAACTGTTCAAATGTGCCAAGAAATACCAGAATGTCACTTTTGAGTGTCATTTAGTCAGCTGTTTTGGTGAGTCTTTTAACTTTATATAGGAAAGGGGTCCTAAAAGTAAGGATTACCAACATAAGATAGTGGATATTTTGCCGGAGGTAATGACGGCAAACTAACGTTTACTAAAGGTTTGCCGGCGGCAATCCATATCACCAGAGGGCGCTGTACTCTTTAAGATAGGGTTGAGTTATAAGATGTATTAAATTCCTACCAGAAGTTGAGTAGCGCGTTTGGTGTGGTGGTTAAGCAAAGGCCTTAGTCAGCAGGATGACACGGGTTCGATTCCGATCCCTGCCACATTTAAAAGGTTTTTTTTCCCACCCCCAAATAAATAAGAATATTCTTCTTTTATTATTTTAACATGTCTCAAACATTTTATTGCAAAGTATGACATTTTCTTTTTCAGATTTGTGGCTCTGGAGGATTTTTTTTGAAGAGAAATAAAGTCCGAAATTATAAAATGGTCTGAATCCCATCTTGTGAATATGGTCGTGTTCCCTAACGTGGCGCACTTCGAAGCTTACCCGACTTTCCTCATGTAGTGTTGCCAAACCTCTTTGTTGACAAACCTCAAATTCATGCAGTAAAATACTAATACTTTTACCTTATTAATGCTTGCTATTTAACCTCTGTGAACAATTTCGGTTTCCTGAAATTTAATCCGAAATTCAAAAACGGTGCCATCTGGAAATTGGGCACAAATTGGCGGGGTGTTCCCTAATGTGGCGCACTTGAATAAATCGCGGAAAATTCCAAATTAACATTTAAGAATTTCTGTAAACTTGATAAATTCTGATAAATAATTATTATCTCTACTTACATACCCAGCCAGATGTTTGTCAGAAAATTATTTTCTTATTTTTCGGGGCATTTTAAAGGGTTCACTTTGCTACGGGTAATGAACTTGCGATTTATGAACAGGAGTGTTTAGAACTTGATGAAATTTCACTTTCTGTGAAATCTCAGTTAAAACTTTTGCTCTAGGTAGGCGCTACAGGCGAAAAATCAAAGTGCGCCACGTTGGGGGCCGCGCCACGTTAGGGTACATCAACAATATGAGGTTACAACGATAATATTGGCATGGAGCCAGACTAAAATTTGTCACCGGAAAATGTTTAAGTACAAAAAAACAGTAACTGCGCATGTTCAGTGCATATCCGGCAAACTAACGTTTACTAAAGGTTTGCCGTCTCCGGCAAAATACCCACTGCCTAAACATAACGCTAGGATCATCCTAGCCCCATAAATGTGGCCTATTTACTGGACTACCTCCGTAAACATAGGCCACACATCCATGTACAAAAACGTGTCGCACTTTGCCAAATGTTGATTTTCACATTTAGGCTTAGTTTGTAGGTTTTTTTTGCTTTAGAAGCATACTCACCCTCTTTATACGCTAATCAGAAAGTGCTGCCTTTTTCAGATGTCTATTTTTCGTGAAATTTCCAGATTCATTTGCACACGTTTGCGTATCAAAATTTCATGTTGAAATTTCACAAAAATTAGACATCTGAAAAAGGCAGCACTTTCTGATTAGCCTATAAAGAGGTTGAGTATGCTTCTAAAGCAAAAAAACCCCACAAACTAAGCCTAAATGTGAAAATTAAAATTTGACAAAGTGCGACACGTTTTTGTACATGTGGAAGTGTGGCCTATGTTTATGGAGGTAGTCTAGTAAATAGGCCACATTTATGGGGCTAGGATCATCCTAGCTAGTGCTGCAGCCGAACCACCGAACCGAACTAAAAAGCCAAACTTGGCCTTCTGAACCGACCCAAACCAAACCGAACCGGAAAAGTTCGGCAAGTTTTTGTTGATAGGGCCTAGCACTAGGAATGCTAATGCTTGCAATGAAAGGGCAAAATTAAGGTGATTGTGTAGTAGTGTAGGGTATGGAGGTTCAAAAGTGGACATCTGCTTTTCTGCCAACAGAATACCAGAAAAGCAGATTGAACGTTTTGTTAAAGTGCATTTTTCTACTTTTTGGGGGTTTTTTTGCTACCAGAAAAGCAGATTGAACGTTTTGCTAAAATGCATTTTTCTACTTGTCTGGATTCCTAAGAATCGTTTTACTCTTTGCCCTTCACTTGCGGTTCAAAATGGGACATCTACTTTTCTGCTATCAGAAAGGCAGATTGAAAGTTTTGTCACGGTGGTTCAAAAAGTGGCCATCTGCTTTTCTGCTTCAGAAACTGAGCAGATTGAACGTTCCCGAACGCAACTATGCCAATCTAGTACCCACCAAAAAATGGACAGTTCCAAGTGACTGTGCCTCCATCGTAACGTCATCACAGCTATTGTATTCCCGAATCTCCATCCAATCCACAGACCGTTTTACGCGCGCAGCCAGGCAATGAAGACTTTCTCACGCTTCACACAGGTAATTGACACCAGTGGAGCTCACGATACCGGAACTCCACGGTAAAAGTCAGCTTACACAAAGAAACCAAATTGGAGGAAAAAATTCCTTTTCATTATGCCGACAGTGCTCTCTCTAACACTTCTTAGGAATCTAGAAAACCTATTCCTGGCGAAGGAACACCTTTTACGATTATTACTCCTGGAATGTATGGCGATCGGAAAGATAAATCCCCGTTTTTTTATGCTCGAGAAATCTGGGAAATGAAGACAGGAAAAAATTCCCAGTAATTGTATAAATTATACCTTGAATCTAACATTAAAATTACAAGTAGCCAATGGAAAATTCCCCTAAAAATAGAAGCACAGATATTTTCTACATCATGCGCTATGCACGTGGCGTTTGTTAGTACAATAATTACTTCACACTATTCTTATATATTCAACGTTGTTGTTGTTGTTTTTTTCAATTTTTTTTTATCGGTAATTTTTATTGTACAATACAAATAACACAATCAACCAACCAACAAACAAAACAGCGAGGTTCTAAGCTTATACCGACCAGCGGCGTAGACGGGGTTCTGACCGTGGGGGGCTGGATTTTACAGTTTCTATTACTCCCGATAACCATGGTGAACAAATTTCCAGTGTTGGGGGGGGGGGGGGGGGCTACTGGGGGCCGACAATTTTTATGGTGTGGGATGCGTGCTCCCCATGGCCTCTGACTTTTCCGGTAACACCGTAACATTTTGGGGTAAAACAGTTAAGAGGTTAAGTTTTTAACCAATCAAAGACAATTTGGGGGAAAAATGAAAATTTTTGAATGACTGTTGTACGTGGGTTTGTGTCGAGGGACATAATTATTTGTGGTGCGCAGAGTACACACCTGCGGAGTTTCACAATCAAAATCAAGGGCGATTAGAAGTTGTGTACAAAACCAATAGGAGCAGTTGCAACTGCAACTGTAACATCCAGCGCTGCCTCCCCCTTCCTTCCCCTATGGTGAGAACCCTGGCTACGCCGCTGGTCAATGTAGGCTTAAAACATCGCTGTTTGTTTGTTGCTTGGTTTGTTGTGTTATTTCTATTATATGAAGTAATTATTGTACTAAGCATGCAAATGTCACATTCACGTGTCGCATGATGTTGAAAAATATCCATGCTTCCATTAGTTCCAAGGGAATATTTTTTCATTGGCTGCTTGTAATTTTAATGTTAGATTCAAGGCATAATTTACAAAATTACTGGAATTGTTTCCCCGTCTGTCCCGATTTCTCGAGCGTAAAAAATGGGGATTTATCTTTCTGATCCCCGTTATGGTCGTGGAAGGTGTTCGCCAGGAATAGGTTTTTTTCTGCATTTATAATCAAAGAGAAGCATTAGCGACAGCAGTCGGCATAATCAAAAGGACTTTTCCCCGCCGAGTCTTGAGCTCCAATGTGTCAATCACCAGTGTGAAGCATGAGAAAGTCTTCATTGCCTGGCTACGCGCATAAAACGATCCGTGGATTGGACGGAGATTCGGGCATAAGCTGTGATGATGTAACGACGGAGGCTGAGTCACTGGGAACCGTCCATTTTTTTTGGGTGGGTACTTTATGCATGTATTGGCATAGTTGCGTTCAGGAACGTTCAATCTGCTCAGTTTCTGAAGCAGAAAAGCAGATGGCCACTTTTTGAACCACTGTGACAAAACGTTCAATCTGCTTTTCTGGTAGCAGAAAAGCAGATGTCCCATTTTGAACCGCCAGTGAAGGGCAAAAAGTAAAATATGCTTTTCTGGTAGCAGAAAAGCAGACAAGTCAAAAAATGCATTTTAGCAAAACGTTCAATCTGCTTTTCTGGTAGCAAAAAAACAGAAAAGTAGAAAAATGCACCTTAATAAAATGTTCAATCTGCTTTTCTGATATTCTGATAGCAGAAAAGCATAGATGTCCACTTTTGAACCTCCATAGTAGGGCCCCTGTTTTGTTTCGATCAAATTAGAATCAACAATTTTTTTTACAACTAAAAAATGACATTGTCAACCTAAAGCAGACTTCTCTCTATGTTATGACACCTTTTTGGTAATTTTTGAACATTGTTGGGGGGGGGGTAGAAATTATGATTTTCCTAAGCGGTTTGCGGGCCCGTTGATTGATGACATGCAGCACGACTTGTGTGCTCACGGGATCGCGCGGTGATTGCCATCTTTATTTTCGTGTTGCGTTTTGTCATTGTCATCGCCATTTTACCCCCAAATTTCCGTCAAAAATTCAAAACCCTGCCCTTTATCTATTACCCTTTACCTGTATGTTCTTAATGTCGCCAACTAATTTGGTAGGTCAAATAATTTAAAAGTGGATTTTGTTCCCTTATAGGAACCAGGCCCGTAGGTACACGATCGCCAAAATTAAAGTGCACAGATGATTGAATTTACCGTGTTGACAGGTCACCGCATTCATCTTCGTTATTTGCAGTGTTCTACTTCTAGCCAGGCATACAATGTACAATAGGATATCGGGCCATGGACATGTACGTTATGTAAGAACCGATGTTTGGAGAAAAAAAATCGAACCACAACCGAACCGAACCGAACCAAACTTTGAGGATCAGTTGCAGCACTGCATGATACTTTGGGCGTCCTACACCAATCATCAAAATGAGGCGACATCACCATACTACATTTGTATACTCATTACATACCATACTCATTTGCAAGCCAAAATCGATCACTATTTTTCATCACATTTCTTTTTAAAGTGGGCCCAAAATGCAGCCTGATATAGGCCTATCAGAAATAAAACACAAATATGTATTCCAATGGGAACTAGTATGTTTTTCAAAAATATAGGAACAGATAATTTGGCAGAACATCGTAAGCCTGTCCCTGTAGACTTGCAGACAAGTCACTAGACTATCCGTGAATAGCCATATGCATCTATACTTTGTATTGTGGAACAACGCGATATGCGATAGCGCAACATGGGAACAAAACTGGACAAATTATTGACTTTATTTCAAGGCCACCTGTCCCGCAATGCCGAAACTGTCGCTTTCCATCAGGTGTAATTTTTGAATTGAAATTTGACTTTATTTAGTAATAAGTACATGTATATATCGTTCTGTTCATTTTTGAGAATGGCCCCAAAAGCTAGAGCCCCTTATATGTGAAAAATCAGTCTGAAGTTGAGCCCCATTTTGAGATGGACTATTTCGGCTTAAAAATATGCGATATTTTCCCAGCTTTTTTTACGTGATTGAGAGACGTAAACAAATTATGATGATGACCAATAACATGTTGAAATCGCCCCATAATACCTTCTGATCAGCATAAACCCGAAGAACGATCGTTTGTAGGTACCTGTATAGTAAAGAGACAGGCTGGTGGTTATTCTGGCGATTGATAGTTGCTGGTCCTGTTTCTATAAATATAAGAGAACAAAAATTAATTGTTTAGGTTTTTGGACTCGCCAAACTCGTTACTATGCTGTGCATCAGATACACAACGTATGGCCACACAGCGATAAAGACTAATTTTGAAATCTGTTATCCTGTTGTTCACATGATTATCGCTTTGGAAGCTATGTACATGTACTTTATATCTTGTTAATAAGCAGGGAAAATCAAGAGTTCTAAGTGCATAACTGATGACCTCAAGGAAATTTAGCATACATCGCTGTGCAACTCACCATACGGAGAAGTCCAGTATTTGAAACATATTCATACTCATAGGGCCAGTCTGCCCCATTGCGTATATGTATGCAGGTTGTACCAATTGCAAGCTGCGTTGCATCGGTATTTGCTTAGTTTTCACGTGTTCCGGTCACCGGTACTAGATATCTTGTGTTATTCAAATGCCAGCGCATTGGGCCGGGTTGTTTTCATGCAACAAGCATTATAATTGCAAGGTAAATTGTACCAGTGTACTTGGTCAGTGCACGTTAGTGCTGTATGCGGCATGTAATGGACGATTAATTTAAACTAGAAGCAGTATAAACGCTACTGCTAACCTAGCCCATAGCAGTAACTGCTTGGTGTGGTAAACTGATACATACATGATCAACAGTTGACAATTGGTGGTTGACACTGGTTGTGCAGAATTATGAATGCATCTAGATAGGAACAGTTCATTATATTGCTGATTGTTTTACAGAATGTCAAATTTGTCTTTCTAAGTTTGGTTTTACCAATTTTTGTTTTGTTTTGAAACAGTGATGAGGAGATATAACCAGAAAGCACAGTGACGGTATTTGGTTGCGGATGGTCTAATGTACTATCGCCACAATGTCCTACATCAGTGTAAGGAAAAAGGCAATTGTTGCTCTCCTGTGTCTGGCGTCCTTCACCGTGGGTTGCATTCTGACCACCAAACTAAACTCAAAGACGTCTTTCCAATTTCCGGCGGCTGTGGCCTCGCTGCCCAATTTGAGCAAGAGGATACGAGGACAGCATGTCAAGGCCGACAGCGGGAATAACGTCACGGAATCCAGACAAGAGGATTGGATGGGCCCGGGAGAAGCTCTCGTCAATGATATCGCAAAGACATTCTTCACCCAAAACGAAACAGATATTTTTGAAGACTATGCTTACGAATTGGAAACAAAACCACCGGCAGCCAAAACCCATCCAGTGGCCCAGCGTGTGTCCAAGAATAACTATTATGTTGAAGTTCCAGACCCCCGGGCAGGCTTCCTTCTGAAGAAGGTCATCAGCAAACTGCCCAGTGATGTTGTGAGGTCAGTTAGGATGGAAAACAGGATTTTAGGTGATCCACATTTATACCAAAAATCTCCTGTGCCTTTTGCCCATAAATCACCCATACGAAATGTCCAGGAGAAATGGGCGGCGTTTATCCAAGGCATGAATGAGTTGGGCTATGAGCAGCGACTTCCGGTCATCATCAACATAGGCGTCAAAAAGAGCGGGACAAACGCCTTTGGCTTTTTCATCTCCCAGCATCCGCAGATTGCCCACTCCATCGGCAACGAGGTCCACTACTTTGACTGGAACTACGACAAGGGCATTGAGTACTACCGCTCCCGCATGATGTTCTCCAAGGCCAACCAGTTCAGCTTTGAAAAAACACCTCGGTACTTTGTCACGCCGGACGCGCCCAGGAAAATCTTGAAGGACCTCCCAGGCCATGTCAAATTTGTGATTTGTGTGCGGGACCCTGTGGAACGCGCCAAGTCGGAATTCAGGCATGAAGAGGAGTTGGGGATGCGCCGCGGCGTGTCGGACAAAGCCAAAGTCAGAACGCAGGCAAAATCCGAAACCCCGACCTCGCAAGGTAAGAAATTTGAACAAACAGTACTCGATATGAACGGCCAAGTGAATGCATCCAACGACATAGTCAGAACCAGCATGTACTCCAAGCACTTTCAAAATTGGCTGGAGACCTTCCCTCGCAATCGATTCTACATTTTGAGCGACGAGCGGGTGAATAAAGACATCTACGGGGAAATGAAAAATGTTGAGAAGTTTCTCGGTTTAAAGCCATTCTTCAAGAAGGACATGTTCTACTACAACAGGGAGATCCATGCTCCTTGTATGAAAGTTGAGCCCAGACCCTGCCCAGCTAAGAGCACACCAGGCTTTCTGCCCAAGGCAGACCCCAGCCCAGAGGTCGTTGAAAAACTGAGGGATTTCTATCGTCCGTATAATCAAGAATTTGAAAAGCTTACCCAGATGAAATTCTCATGGACAAATCTATGAATCAGAGTTTTGATTTTTTTTTTTAAGATGGTGCATGAAATATTGTTAGTTTATAATTCTTTTGAATCCTTTTCGTTCTTTTGCTCATAATAGATACTTTATATGATCTACTCCCCACACAATGTCACGTACAAATGTACATGTAGCCCCTGAAACAGGGAATTACTTTTGTTGATGTATTTTCATGCTCTTCCTTGTTCTCGGACAAGTTGATTTTGTATAAATTTTCAATTTGTATGTTTTATTTTGGGTTCCTCTTTTTTTTGCTTTGGGCAGCTGTGACCCTCTGAAAAAAAGTTTGCTCTTATGTTGGGTTGCAGCCTGGAATTATTGTTGGGCCTGAATTATTGTTGCGTTGTAAATAATTCAAACTTTGTTTAGTCCATAACTAATACTGTACATGGGGGATTTTATCCATTAATGCTTCATTCAGAAGCAAATAACTTTTGTATTGCTTGAAAGTAGCAATTTTAAAGTAAATGTCTATATTTTTCGGAGTGAAACTGAAATAGGCCTACATGTGAGAGCAACTTTTAAAATTGAAAACATAACTATAACTATTGAATTAAAAAGTAACTGCATTTTCGGTCCCCACAAATACCTCGTACAGTCGAGTGTACATGTATGTCCCCACAGCTACGGAACAAGACATCGTGGCCATGTTTCATGTAAACAAACACGGGGCTTCATTTCTAGGCCAGTGGTAACAAATCGTGCATTTGTTTACAAGTTACTCATGTGTGCTTATTGTACCATATATGAAAGATGTATGTAAAATAGTATAAAATATATTCGTAATAAGCTTTGGCTTTTTTAAAATTAATTTGGCTTTTTTAAAATCTTATTATAACTACTTTTTGTTCTCACGGTGCTTTTACTTTGCTTTTGAGTTTTGACAGAACAAAATGTTATTGAAATTGAATCTTTACATAGGTTAACCCTAACTCCCTAGGCATTTTTGCTAGGATGTAGCCTCAATCCTGCAAAATCCTCCAATTGGCCTCATGGAAAAATAGCATATAGCCTCAATCCTGCAAATTCCTCCGCTATTTCTTGAATATGGTTCATGGAGGGATGACCACTGCCTGAATCCTGCAAAATCCTCCGGCTATGTCTGTCAATAGGCTGAGGCAGAGGCAGTGACATCCTGGAGCAGTGCGGAGGATGTCAAGTAATAATCAAGGACTAAATTTATGCACGGCTGAGCATAAACAACACAAGGTCCGGCCCAAGACCTTGACACAGTGCGTACTCCGAAATCAGCAACGCACTTTTGCCATGTAACCTCAATCCTGCAAATTCCTCCAATTTGCAAAAAGGATTTTGGAGGATTCAGGGCGGTTAGGGTTAAATTAATAATGGCTATTGCATTGTACATAACTACTGAAATTCCTTATATGTATGCTTTTATGGACAAGTTAGTTTTGGTCAATTGTGAGATGAGAACATTTTTTTTTAAACCTGAAGTATTTTATGTTCTTTAGTTAGTAATGTGAAGTATTCTTCCAACATGTCCAAGACAGGGTTTTTTTTTTAAAGACTTAAGACATTTCAATCCCTCAATCAGTCAATAAAACTCTATTCATCCCAACGGGCAATTAAAAATCATTCCATTCAGCGGACTCTAAAAATGTGAAACAATTAAATTCGGAATAACAAGTCTGCAATTTAGGTTTGAATGAATTTTTTACAAAATCTTGACACATTAGTTGTAGGATTGAGCTAATCAAAATTATGTGCTAAAACAAACTTTCCTGAACTTTTCATTGCTTTAAATTTGCATTCGAGAACGCGGTGCCAAATTATATGTATGTAAGAAAAAAATATTATCTTTGTACCAATTTTTTTTTTAATTAATGAAGAATGTGACTTGCTATAGATTTAACCCCTTATATTCCCTACCATTCCATCAATAAATGTAATTAAGACAATGGACGTCATGTACAAGTACATGTAACTCCTTAATGGTTACAAAGGGAGAGTTGGGGGAGACCACTGGGAGGGACATTCAAACATACTTGAGCTTTACGCTCAAGCAAAGACACTGTCGAAAATCATTAAAAAGCGCAATCTTTTCTTCACGTACATAGTGCAGCAGTGAACACGATTTCCAAAAGTACATGCACAGTCATAATATGCGCTGAACTGGTTTGGTGCTGTATGAAATACTGTTCATAAGATGGAATTTTGCGTTGGTTCAAATCTGGCTAGTTCGAATCTGATATAGCAGCGAGTACTGCAAGCGAAGTATTCACTAGATGGAATTTTGCATCATCAGATTTGAACCAGCAAAGCTCGGTGGTTGAGTGGTAAGACGCATTTATAGACTTCATTCATGATTTGGCCATATTAAATTGGAAGTGAGGTAAACTCTTCATTTTTGGACCTTGCGAGTAGAAATGAAAGCAATGAAATAAAAGTTCATTACAAATTTATAACTGTCTGCTCTGACAAATAATTAAACTTTGCGATTAAACACACCCTGATGTTTTAAGCCACATTTCAAAAAAACAATTGAAAGTAAGGTTTGGAACGCACTCCAATTATAAAATACCGGTAGTCTGGCACCATCCCATTCAACAGTTTACAATTTATAGAATAGATTCAGGGAACATGATCAAAAATGGTTTCCTAGTGAATAAGGTCTATAAGCAGGAGGTTGTGGGTTCGAGTCTCACCTGTGTAGTTTGTGATTTTTTTTCTTGGGACAACACCGCGTATGCAGTATTTATAAAAAATATGTCGGTGAAGGGCAAAACCCGATGTTAAATTTACATGTACTGTTGTTGTGAATCTATTGCGATAGGACTTTGGATAATACTGGATAATTTTTGGTTGTGTAAATCACTGTACTGGAACTGAAATCACCAAAGAAGAACTCTAATATTGTATCCCCAATAGCTTCATTGGACATGTTGGAAAGCTGTATTTGTACCCTTGTACAGACTACAAGTTGTACACTTTGCCCAGTGTATATTCTGTTCGGGGTGGCTCTTTTGAGGGCTGGACTGAAGAAAAAGCTAAGGAATTGGTCTTGGAACCCCACCCCCCCCCCCCAAAAAAAAAAAAACCCACACCAAACAAAAGTGCAAAACACAAAAGCAGTTATGGCATAGGGTTCCGAAGCTAATACGCATTCTAAACTATCCTGGGACATTTTTAGAGCAAGAAAACATTCAAGCATGTCAAAGTTGTTGTAACATTTATCAGGGAAGCCTTGTACAATGTCCATGTACAATTATTGAAGGAATAGAACAGTGATTGTTCTTAGCACGAAAGTGAATGTGAACACGAATCTGTGAGTCATGGCAAGGTTTTTTTTTGTGAATTTGCAAAGTTAAACACATGTCCAATCAGGCAAATTTCGTGGTGAATATTTCATGACATTAAATAATTAGGGCCATAAAATAATTTATTGATATATTCTACCCCTCTATCTCATTTTGGATTCACAAGGCTTAAGTCGGCTGAATTTTGAGATCATTTTTCCTGCAGACTGCAGTGGCAAGTTTTGACTACATGTACTTGAAAGAATTCTTACATGAAAGCTTATAGAAGCTAACAATAACGTACATTGTAAAAGAACCTATTGTGTGTTTGTTCACGATGTGGCAGTTCCAATTCCTTAAATTTAAGAGTTCAACATTATATTTCAGTATTTTTCAGTATTTTATTATATCGTTAGGAATGTACCCGAGGGGTGTTCAGGTTTTCGTAGAGTTAAATCTATTTTTATACATTCCTATTTTTCCTACAAACTATATTGCTTCATTCCAATTTATTCCAAATGACGCACATGTACAAATGCAGATTGTTACATGGTCGTCTGCTAAGGATAAACACAAACAGTATTTATTATCAATAACTACTTACAAATTTAAGCAAATATTTTGGATTTACATGTACATGCAATTTGTGCAATGGTTTCAAAAGTTCCAAGGAACAGCAAAAGAAACCTCTCATTTCCAGTTTTGTTCTCCCAATTGTAATGTAATAAGTAGGCCTTCTTTGTTATTATTTGTTTTAGATTATACTTTATAGTTAGAGATAACTACAGTATTGTATACATGTAGATGTGCATCCCACTATTTGTGTGTTTTGTATAATCCTGCAGATTGTGTGATGCACACTGTATGATTGTATTGTAGGCTATGTACATAAATGCCAGTGCTCTGCCAAAGTGGTACACAGGTTCTCAACCAAAGTTTTGTTTTTACTGACGCTTTACTAAAAGGCGATAATATTTTGAGGGAATAGTTATGAATGTGTGGTTTACAACCAGTTAAAGGGAATGTACATGATTGGCTTTTGCTGTAATTTTCAGAAATGAACTATTTGAGGGGTTCGTATAATACATCAAATATTGTTTAGCTGACATGTTTGAAGTTTTGTGTTAGAAAATGTTTGAAAAACCAAGAAAAAAACAAAAATGTTTAAGTAGTCTGGTTCCCTGACTCCACTAAAGATAAAATGGATCAATTGATAGATGTCGGAAAATTGTAAGGTAAGGGACCCAGTCTAGCTGGGCTGCACCCGTTCATGAACATGTAACCAATAGCAAACAAAATTTGGATTGAAAAAAATTTGTAAATTTGGAGCAGTAGTTGAGAAATAGTTAGGTTTTTCCAACGGTTGTCGGCTGACCACCGTTGGAAATGTATACAAAAATACCATTTTCTTGAAAATGACTTGACACCAGGTGCCATAATTTTACAGGATGCTTAAGACCCTTATTTACCAACATCCTAGTAAGGTGTTTCGTAAAAACGTGGTAGTTTTATTTTTCATTGTTTGCAAATGTTGTATATTCCCTTTAAGGGCCTGGTTGCCGATAATGGCCACAGCCGAAGGCAAGGGCTAACGCAGAGTAAAAGTAAAAACAAAAAATAGTTTCTCGTCCGGGCTTTTTGAAAAAATGAAGGAGGTACGCCCCCCTTTTTTTCAATCAAGATGGCAGATGAATTTCAATTGTCTGGACTATTTTGCTGATGCAAAATTGTGTCCAAAGGAGCCATAACCCTTTCTACATACATTGTACATATACATGTAGCTAGAATTTTGTTAGAAGCAGATAGAAAGACAATATATTGACAATGTAAATTTGCAAAATATATTGCAAATGTATGAATTAAAAGTGTGCACATGTGGCGTGGAGCGCAGACTCTCGCGAACAGTTTTAAACATCGCTGACCGGTTTTTAAACAGCAGTTTTAAACCACCCATGTGACAGATTCTCAACCAATTGGAATAGGTAAACTGTCCGTGGTATTTATGAATAGAACCGTTAAAAAGTTTTTGCTTCCCGTTCTTTGAACATGTCAAGCCGATACAATGTGTACCAGTTTATATTGCATGACCTTAGCGAGACAGAGTGAACAGCTTTGATATACATGTACATTGTATGTGCTCATGTCATAGAAAATTCTCCCCAACATAGATTAATGATACATTAATTGATATACATATATTTTTGTATAAAAACCAAAGACACTTTTTAGATGCATATGTACATGTACATGTACTGAGGTGGTTACACCTTTGCAAGTCTATTGGGCTAAGTCTGAAATGAGCATCTAGAGCTAGTATGGCTGAATCTATTGACAGCATGTGCATGTAGTTGTAATTGTAAAAAAGCCCTAGACCAGAGATTTGTAATTTAGTAATCGGGCCCAATTTCATGGCGTTTTCTTACCTTAAGCGAAAATTTCTCGCTTACTGTACCAGAAACTTGTGCTAACAGTTACAGTAGCATATTTCACTAGGTAGCAAGGACTTTTTCATATACCCATGTATACATCCTGTAATTCAGGATTCTTTTCTAGT